CCAGACTTTGTCATCAGCACGCACAGACCTCTGATGTAAGTATCAATAACTGTCCGAATCAGAATTGAGAAATTGACGCTCTTGGATTTCACAGGGAAGAGGAAGGCAGGGATCTCCTAGGAAAAAGGACGATGGACTTTAAGGTCAGCTACTTGGATGCCGGATTGACCAACAGCTACTTCTCGGACAACGATAGTCTCACGGGTTCCGTGATGACGCCGACGCTTCCTTCGCAACCAACGTCCCAGAGAGTGAACAGGCGGTACAAGACTCAACTTAGGGACTTCTTGTCTACCTGTCGAAACAAACGAACCAAACTGACGACGCAATCGTCAGTTTCCCCGCCAGTCACACCCACGGTCGCGTCCGTGGACTACCTCGCAGCCGATACCAGTGCTGCAGCTGCAGTCGCAGCCGCGTACAGCAACCTGAACACCATGTATCCGACCGCGTACGCACCCACGGCAGTCGCGGCTAGCACCGACCCTTCGTTGACCACGTATATTGGTCATACCGGCAACTATCATCAAACTCTATATCCGGCCACTGCGTTAGACAATAGGTGAGTCTTGGAGGAACAATAAACTCCTTGAAGACTGTTCAACAGCTCAACCGGATGTTCCATTCTTCAGGTACCTCACCGCAGCAACGGAAAACCTGTTCCAGTACAGGCCCCTAGGCTCTTACTACCCAGAGTATCACACGAGCACCGCGTACAACGGCTTCATCGACGTCAGCCTACCCACCTACGAGACGCATCAGTTGACCAGCAAAACGGAAGAGAAGCTTTACTGCCAGCAACTAGGCGAATCTCCGAAATACAGCTACGTCGAGACCAGACATCCCAGCAGCGTCAGCGGGTCTCCCTATGCGGCCAGTCCGGTCGCGAGCGCGTCGACGATGCACACCGCGACGGCCGACATCAACATCGTCCGTGCGGGTAGCAGACACTCCCTGGAAGGTGGTGCATCGTCCAGTAACTCCGCCGGAAGCTCGCCCGTAACCGGACCAACGAACGGCGTGCTCACTCCCAAAATAGAGGACGTGAAGCCCGAGGTGTACGCCAACGAAGCGCCGCGACAAACTGTCCTCATGTGGGGTGCACCGCCTTCTCGTACTCCTCCGAGGAACAACGGCAGCTACAGTCCACCCACACCGCACTCCACGCATTCGTCCACGCATTCGACCAACGCTGCTGCCGGAGATCCCTTGAAGTCCCTGGCGGAGATGAACTCCATGAACGGGGAGTGCAAGTGGAGGCAGACCTCGCCCAGCGAACAACAGACTACCGCACCCAGTTCACCCAGAACCAAGCCACAATCGCAACCGCAACACCAGCATCACCAACAGCAACAGCCTCAACAGCATCAACAGTACCCGGTGACCACGTCACAGTATCAAGCAGCGGCGGCGGCC